ACCTTCCAAAGGTTGCTTTGCAGTAGGCTTTAAATATAGAAAATTGATCTTTATATTGGAGTTTATGACACTTAATATAGAGTAAAAGCGGCGAATCAATTCGACATCAACCCCGGTAATCTTGCTAAATATTTGGTAATTTTGAAATGCTTTTCGCGAGGTATTATTATCATTAGTTGTACCACCACCACCTTCTTTTGGTATGTCAACAAGAAGACCTAAACGTTTTTGAAATTCAATTTGAATGCAATGTTTTTGATCTGAAGCCAACATTTTATGGTCTTGATCTTGAATTTGCCAATTCTTGAAATCAAGGCAATATGCAATATGAAGTATGCATTCAAAAAAATGAATCCAGGCATGCAAACTTGATAGACCTAGCTGAAGACTGTCTTCATTAACAGTTTTTTCTTTTTCGCAAAGTATTGAGTTCATTTGTTTTGGTGTTGCCAAACAAATGTTGCACGACGCTGAAGATTTTTGACCGGATATGGCATTAGCGTCTATCATGGTAAGCACCAGATTATACTTAATTCTAAGCTGAAGTAGTTCGTTTTGCTCATTAGGTAAGCTTACTATTGTATCTCTTAATGATGCTATTTGATTCTGTATATACTCTTTTTCTTCTCGTAATAAATTAAAGTCTTCTTTTTTGAACTGTAGTCTTATTGGCATACAAAATCGAGAAAACGAAGGATTTTGATTTCTCAAAATTGAACTAGACGGTTTGCCAGAAGACATTAATGTATTCTCAAAAGAAAGATCAAGACGAAAAAATGTTGTTGCAAGTATGTGCTTATCAGAGCTGCTATCGTCCAAATAAAATTGCTGTTTGTACATACTTTGTCCAGATGCACCGTCAAAGCCCCATTTCCCGCTTAGAAATAATGTTTTACCAAATATTTCAACCAAGTTTTTAACTTTAAAATGCCCTTGTTCTAACTGCAGTAATCAACAACTTGTATGATTCAGCAGATTTTGTAATGGTACCTTGCATTTTGACTCCGTAACAGTTATATTTTGTTGGATTGCATAGTTGTTTAGCTTGTAGTACTTTGCGATAGCTTGGATAAAGTACAGCATTGTTCTTCTTGGCATTGTTTCTAAGCTTTTCACAAGCATTTCTAGTCAAATCTGTCGAGATCATTAATGCAATAGAAAAATTTTGAATTATGGCCAATTTTTTGAGGTTCTGCACCACTGTGTTGTGTTGTGAATCCGCACCCAGGTACCCAGTACTCAGGTACTGAGCATTTAATTCAGGTAAAATTTGAGTATTTAGGCCACTAAAAAAAGGAAAGCATTTTTAAAATAAATTTTATTTTAAATTTATTCACTTTAACGATTTTCAAAAGTTATAAATTGACTTAAGATACTTGCTAAATATTTTTTCAAAACTTTTTTGAAAAAAAATATGGTATAAATATTTTTGAATAAATGATATGATATACCTTATATACATAAACTTATTAGATATACAGCTTAACTTACTTTACTTTTAACCTTATAAAAATAATGTATTATTATTTTTTTAAAGTTAAAATTAAAGCTATTTAATGTTTATCTTGGTAAGAATCGTTAAGTATAAGCCAGTGTTTGGAAGTTTGTAAACTATACTTTTATAGGAATGTAAGGGTTTATAAGCCCTTCAGCCTTTTATTCAGAGGCGGATCCAAGAAATTATTTGGGTACATTTGTTTTTTTTAAACATCCTCTAACTAACCCCCCCCCCCCCCCAACACAATACGTATGTATATGTATGTATCTTTAAATATTGATAAAACAAGATGGATACTTTTCGATAAAAAATAAATAATACCTCTAAATATGTTTGATCTCTTTATTGACAATGTCATTCTAAAATTAGAAAAAGTTACAAAATTATTAGAAGTTTTTATTGAATAAAATCATGGAGATGAATTACATTTCTAATAAAGTTGCAAAAAGCATTGGAGTTCTATACATATCTAGATGTATTTTAAACAAAAATCATAATTTTACTACTCTTTTATTCATTTTTATATAAATTATGCAAATATAATATGAGGAAATACACATAAAACTAAATTGAAATCTTCTTATCGGCATGAGAAACATGCAGCTAGTATAACAAATTTTAAAATTGCTTTTCGAAATCTGAACCGTTTATTAAAGAAATGGACGCCATAAACGTTTATCAACTAAATGTAGGGGAAAGGCGCCTATGGTGGAATACCGATTATATTTTCATAAATATAATTGGTATTCCATGGCATACTGACGAGTTAGGTGTGTTGCAATATTGACGAGTTGGGAAAATCTTTTTTTTTTCATATAAACAACATATTTTTTAGTGAAGCTAAGAGGAATTTTTTCTTCACTAAAAATGCTTTGCTTCAAAAAACACATAAAATGCAATATCTTTTATACGCATGCGCAAAATTTAACACTGCTGCGTAGCATCGAAAGGTAAATTAGAATGATTTCGCGTAATATCTGGCATTTCTGAGGGAAGACTCTAAGGTTAACGAAATCCTCAAGTTACCCTTAATGCTAACCAACCTCATCCTCCCCTACGCCATCATAGGAGCAGTAGTTGCCTATGATAGCATACTTGTGCTTTTTTTTTTTTTTTTAAAAAAATAACTAATGAAAAAATAAAATTGATGAATACTCCTAAGGTTATATATTTGTTCTACATGTAACAAGGAATGTATCCATATCAAAACTTTAGTTCTTGGTCTTCAGGATACTGAATAATGAAGCTTCAAAGTTAAGTATGCGATCATAGGCGCCTTTCCCCTATTAATGTTTCGTGCTCTATGTACAAACGTAATGAACTAATGTCCCACGACTTTTTTTTAAATCTTTAAAAAAACTAAACCCCAAAGCAAAATAAATCTTAATTGAACTATTCTTTTTTCAAATGATCTATAAAAAAAAATCATTTTTTCAGCAAAAAATATTTTTGATTTTTTAAATATTTTTAGTTGTTATGATACATATTAATTTGTCATGTTTTATTGTGAATTTTAATTTTGAAGTATTTAAATTATAATATATTTAATGTTTTTATATTTTATGCATATATTTATTATTTATGGTATATATGTTTTTATTGTTGAAGAAAATCAATGCATTTTAGGTAACTTATGGGTAGGATTGAAAAGTCTTTTTTTAAAAGGAGTGACCTTCGTAAACTAAATTTCAAATTAAAGAAAAACTAAAAAGTTAAGATTGGGGCCCATAATACTTTACATGCTACCTTAAAATACCTATAAATACCTATTTAGATTCAAGTAAAAATATTGTGTGTGGAAAATTTTTTGTTATAACGAATGAAACTTGTGTCACGGAAAGAACCTATTGTTATCGGAATGTATTAACACAAGTTTTGAATAACTAGAAATTTTGAATAACATTGTTTTTACTCAACGTAAAAAGTTTTTACTCGTAAAATAGATAATCGTAGGTAGATAATCATAGGTAGATAATCATAGGTAGCAACTAAGATAAAAATCCTTCGAAACGTTTTTAGTTTTTTTTTGAATTTCCAATATAGTTTATTAAGCTGGTTGAAAAAACAAGGTATTTCAAATCTACCCTTATTGTTTTAATTTGAAAATCTTGTAGGATTATTTTCATTAATTTTAGAAAGGTTTTTTTTTTTCTCTCAAGTTTGTACATTAAAATAAGAATATGATAAATGTTTGAAAAACATTAAATATATTATTATTTTCGAGTTTTATAATGTGTAAAATAACCTGCATTATAACTCTAACAACATGTTTTTGTCTACTTAACAACATGTTTTTGTCTACTTAACAACATGTTTTTGTCTGCTTAACAGCTTTATAATCTTACTTAAACTAGAGCTGTACCAAGTGATGTTAGCATATTTAATATAACAATGTGTAAGGGAGAAATATAAAGTTTTTAAACAGATTTGATTTAGTAACTTTTTTGTTTTGTATAGCGTGCTAATATTTTTATTTGTATTTAAGGATAGTTTATAATTTGATAGTTTAACTGTACAATTGATAGTTTAAACCATTCCGTTAGATTTATAAGTTCCTATTTGAACATTTTAAGTAAAAGGTTGACATCTCCATTATAATAAAATAAATTCGTGTCATTTGCGAATAGCATTGAGTTAGAATTGTTTGAAAATTTATAAAAATCATTTTTATAAATAAGAAATAAAAGTAGACCTTAATAAATAAATAAAAACGAAAAAAAAAGTAAACTTATAAACCACCTAATTTGTTTATTAAAATAAATATCTTCTTCTTTGTCTAAAACAACAGGTAATTCATTAATAAAGCTTTAAAGTGTTACATTAAACCCCATTTTACTCCATCTTATGTTACATTTATTTTAAAAAAGGAATAATTTAGAATTGTTCAATGTTTTTTTTAGAAATTCTTTTTAAAATATATTTGCAACGAGGGGGGGGGGGTCTTTTTTATTTAATATTTTTTTAGCTCATTTATTTTAAAGTAAAACTTATTTTCATGTCTGCATTTAAAGATTTTTGAAGAGAAAATTATTTTTACGTTTTTTCACTTCATGTTTACTTAATACTAATTAATTAAAATAAATATTTTTTTAAATATTAATTAAATATTTTTAAATATTTAGAAATCAATTCCGATTTTTTATTCAATAAAAACGCTTGAAAATAAGTTTCTTTTAAAAAAAAAACTAGAAAAATGCGCTGAAAAATATCATACTGTGAATTTTATAAAATTTTATTAAAACTCTAATATAATCAAAGCAGCTTGATATTAAAACATTTTATATTTTATAAAAACAAAAATGAAATTATATTACTAACTTTTGAATTGTTATAAAATATGTAAATATATTATTTATTTATTTTAATTAGCTAAAATAAATCAAGAGTTAACTTGGCGCGCCGTGGGAGGAGAATAAGATTTTGAAATTTCTTTTTTCAGAATGGGAAAGAGGGGGAGGGGTGATTTTTTTTAGTGTAAAGTAGAATAAAAAACACAAAAACCTAAATAAACAAAAAATACATTCAAAGTACAATAATTATGAACATTAATAACTTTATTTAGCGAGCCTCAAACAGTTCCTCATACAATTTTTGCTTTCACAATCCACAAAACAGTTATTGATATCATCCCGATACGTCTTATCAATAGCATCATTTACAGCTCTGTAAGTCTTGCTCTGTAAGTCTTGGGAATTTACATGTAACATTGTTGAACTAAGTATTTTGTCGCTCTTAAAATTAAACAATAATGTAATAAAATTAGATAATCAGAAAAAATGTTCTTACATTAATTTTTTATAATAATTTCTTTTTATTTGATTAAAATGATCGAAGTAATTTTAAAATTTTTTTCTAAGTGTTTTACGTACCTCTTTTTTACCAAGGTTGTTTTTGAAACGTCGTCCTAAACCAAAATTATTGACCAATTGTATCAAAAAAAAAACGGAAACAATTATTTTGAAATTCATATTTTTACTTCAAGCACAAACGTGATGAATTTACAAATCCTAATTTCAGTTCATATTTTTTGAATATATATCATTTTAAAACAAAACTAATTTAGAAATAAAGTCTTGGAAAAACAATAAAAATCGACAGGAAAGAAAATTTTCACCTGTCGTTAAGAAGATTTTTCATGCCTGGTATTAATAGTTAATCATTGTTTTCAATGAATCATGAAAAGGGTTGTAACTCTCTGTAGGGGGGCAAACAGGATATTTTAAGAAAAGTCCGCAAAATATAATGTACTTGTATACATAAATATATACTAATTTATAGGGTTTCTAATTATAAATCTACCCATTTTGCTAAAGGGGACTGGCCTAACAAAATTAATTTGTGTTTTTCTCTATTTACATTTATATTAATAATTAAAAAATTACTGGGAGCAAACAACTAGCAATTATTAGTATGTTCTATGTTTATAATATTGTATATAATATAAGTATACACTAATGTTATATAATATAAATATTGAATTATTTTAAAGATACAGTGATATCGTCTAGTAATTAAAAAAAAAATACTACAAATATAAAGATGCAAAAAAAAAAATTTGCAAAAAATTTAAAAATTGATTTTTAAAATAAGATTACCATTAAATAAAAATTTTGATCTTTCATGAAAATTTAGCATTGTAGTTAACTCCAGAAAGGGAGTAAGACGCCTTTGGTATTGCAAACACACTGTTTCAACCTTTTTTGATACATGTTTAGCTTAGAAATCAATTTTTTCTCAAAATTTGACCATGGAAAATAAGCTTTTGAAAACCTGCGCGAGATAAATACGTAAAGATTTTTGTCTCTAAACATTTTGTTTATATATTTTTTTTGGTTATTAAGGTGTTCCCAGAGGTCTTTACGGGCTTATCACAGAGCACCGAAAAAGAGCATTTAAATCCTTTCTTGTCGCTTATTGGACTAGAGCCGGGGCCGAACCTCGGACCTCTTGGAACTATCGGACTTCTTGGTTCTTAGCTAGAACTCTAACTACTGCGCCACACCTGCACTATAAATAAAATCTTGTTTATTGATAAATGACATATTTAAACTGTTTATTAGAATTTGCATTGGACACGTAAAGACTTCAATTCTTTTAAAAATTAAAGTCTTTACCTAATTGGTATCCAATTCATTAGCAAAAAATTTAATTCTTTAAAAAGTGTAAAAAGAAAGAATTTAAAAAAAAAAAGTTTAATTCTTTCTTTTTACACATTTTTGCAAATCATTTTACATTAAAATAATTAAATTAAAAAAATTGTTACACGATAAGAAATAATTAAAATATAAAATAAAATATTGAAGTATTGAAAAAAAAAAAGGTATAAAAAATGTACTTTCGTTGAACTGACAAAGGTTTAACACTTTTAGTAGTTAATTTAATCAATTCGAATATTTAACAACTAAACAATCTTTAGTTTATTCTTTCATGTTAATGCAAAAAAAATTCCAAAATTGACATCCAAATGGTAACCCTGTTTTTGCTAAAATATAGAGACGGCTTTTTTTGCCCAATGTCCCATCTTACCTTTTTCCAGTGTTGTCTTCAAGCCGTAGTATATAATAGTTTAATACTTCTTTTTATATATAATATCTTTTTGGTCTTCTTTTTTTATATAATATTTTTTTGGTTTTCAAACTTTAAATACAAAAATTGAGCTTTTTCAAAGTTCTTTAAAGCCAGTAAAATTTCAAAATACTATAATTTCGGTCACTTATAATCAATCATAGCGCGTTAACAAACGATTATCAACAATAATCAAGAACGCACAATACTCACGCACATTGAGTCAGAAAGGTAAAAAAAAAACGGCAAAAATAATATAACTATCATATATAAACATGTGATTCATCAATCCTATCGTATTTTGGGTCAAAAAATTTAAATTTGCTATTAAAAATAATTTTTACGCGTACATACGCGTACAACGCGCACTTACGCGTGTAAGTCTCATTTACGCGCGCAAATTATGATTTAAATAAAAAAGTTGGATTCTTTGATCCAAAATACCATAAAATAGATTACTAAATATTTTTAATACAAATTTTACCTGTGTCTAAGGCCCAAACAACACACGCGTATACGAATTAGAGTCTTTTAGGCGCACAAAGACTGACCTTATTTTAAAAAAATTAGACTCTTCAAATCAAAACATTTACAAATTAAAAAAAATAATTGGATTCAAAAAATCAAATGCAATTAAGTATTATAATAATATTAAAAGATATTAAATACAAAAAAAATATTTATCTTACCTAATTTTTCTTTCAAGAAAACAAAAAAAGAAATCCTAATATTAATAAAAAGGCTTTATTTCATTATTACGGCATTAACAAAGATAAAATCTCATGGATAAGTGTTTTTCTATTTTTAAACTTGTATTTTTTGAAACAAGTATTTGATATTACAGAATCACTTCTAATAAAGAGGTATCGGTACTGTATTTTCATAACATTCTTTCTAAATATCTTGGCTGTATGGTTCAATCTAGCTTTGCGCACGCTGGTAAATTTGCTATTTATTTTCTCCCACTTGCGGATTTATTCAAGGGGAAAAACCGGTTGTCGATATTCCAGCCATTAAATTTAGCTTATATATATATATATATATATATATATATATATATATATATATATATATATATATATATATATATATATATATATATATATATATATATATATATATATATATATATATATAGAAATTAGCAACTTGGCTTAAAGGCGAGTTTCCACTCATCCGTTTTTCAACGGGAACGGGATAGGAAAGGATCTAGGATCCCAACAGACTCAATACAAACTTGACATAAAAGCTCAGATTGTAGTAAGCGTGAACAGTTATAGCATTCTTCGTCTGTAACAGGTTTACGAGGTCGAAAATGAGATTGATACATTGACGGTACAGGAAAATGATAAGGCAAGTTAAATTTTCGTACATAGCTAGACCGCATCAGTTAGTACCATTTCCCTCTTTCATCTTGTTTTGTAGATCTGTTACTGCAAGTTTTTAATTCATGTTTAACGGATGAATGTTTAGATTCTTTTCCTTACATTGAAAGAATCCCACAACCAACTCCGTAATTCTTGAAAATTCCTGCAGCATGAAATGAAACAACATAACCAATTGTCGAAACTGTACTGTTACAGTTTAGAGGGAAAAAAAGTGCAAATAATAAAAAATATTTTTGGCAAACAGCAGTAACATTTTCAACATAATTTTCTTCAATAATATCTTTTATATTAATCACACTTCCAACATTTCCAAGTGCTGTAAATATTTGCGCCAGAACTAGTCTTAAAACTTTTTCCTGTTCTGATTCTTTATCGTGTTTTAAAACGTCAACTAAACGATAACCATATTGGGCAATTGATATCGCTTGTAAACCAATAATCTTGACAGACGGAGTCTTCAATTTTTGAAATGAATATTACGATTTAATATTTTGATACAAAAATTTGAATAAAAAAAATTCCAATATGATAAGTTTTTATACTAAATTTAACATTTTTAAATATAATTATAACTTACCGATTATCTTCCACAAGGTAATGCTCTTCATACATTTTTCCAATAAAACTTAGTTCAATGCCAACAATAGAATCAGAAGAATGCTTTGCTGGTGCTTTTAAGATTTTACATAACTCAACAAATCTGTTTCGTCTTGTTGCTTCAAAATATAATACATTTAGGCAATGTGTCCAACTGTTTATTTCTCAATGAAGGGGTCTTGTTTTATTCTGTCTGCAAATATACCAATTCTTGATTCACCTAATTGACGCAATCCATTCTCAGCCATAAAATCCAGAGACTTTAGATGTTTGGCATTTTTTGACAACTCATTAGAAAAAACCTTTTTGAAACTCTTGTAACTTGACAAGATCATTTTTTCTACAAGTGGTATCAGAAATCTTCCATTTCTTATCAACATTTGAATACCCAATAGATCCGTCTAAGAAAGTAAGTTCACTTTTATGAACATTACAGAACGGTGATGGGTTTGTCACTTTTTATTTGAACATCGGATATCTTACCAACAAAATTTTCAAGAAATTTTCCTCTTTTATAAGAAAGTATCAAGTTTTCCATCTCAGTTATTGAAGCAACACTTCTCAAATAATCCCATGCACCATTAATTGAACCAATTCTTCCACCATGAACATACTCAAGAACATTTTTAGTTTCTTTACTACGTCTATAACAGGTTGAATTTGTTGTGTCGTTAATCATTTCAAAGCTTGTATAATTATTTTCACTTCCTTTTTGTACATGACTTTTTTTATCCAAGAAATATTCGAGATCTTCAGATTCGTCTGGATTGTCTTTTGATTCCCTTCCTAGGGAATCAAAAGATAATCCAGATACAAATTTAATGCCTTACTTACTTTTATAAGCACATTGTTTACTTAAAGTTGTCTTTTTCAACATCAACACTTTTTTTTGATGAGAGATTTGAACAGGGGAGGTTTTCCAAAAAAATAAATGGGGTCGACATTTATCACAAGATTCAGAATGCATGTTTAATTTAGGGCAGCTTTTTTCTTTAAACATAACCTAAAGATTAGTTTGTACACAATTTTTTCAAATAAATAACTAAAATATTAAACAAAAAAATAATTATCAAACATAATACATACTTTGCAGTAGGAATTTGTTAAATTGATGCTTGAGCCATTCTCTGAAATTGACTTTTTTACTATTACTATTTTTACTATTAGTTATTAAATAATCTAAATTAGAATATGAAAATTTGAATCTTTGTAAACAATGTTATAGAAAACTGCTCGGAAAAAAAATGTTTATATATTTAATGAAAAACCCAATAACATAAGAAAGATATATGATTTAAAGTTTAAAGTATTAAAATCTGTCCTTTTGTTCTATAAATATTTTGTCCCTTTAACATTTTTATAATTTTTATATTATTCTAGAAATGTTTTTGATGTTTTAAAAAAAAGGTTTGTTAAAAAGTTACAAAAATCTATAATGGGCGCAAAGCTTTTTTTTTTTCTTTACATGAAACACAAATAGTGAGAATCAAAATGCATATTTGTAGTGGATAGGTTTTCAACCATTTCTTTAAATACTTGGCGCATGACTTTTTTATACTTAAAACTACATTTTGTCTTTACAACATGGTATTTATTATTTTCAGATTGCACATTTTAACATTAAAACCTCTAAAAATACATGTTTTTTTGTACTCTTTTTAAGGTTCTTAACATCTTATTAATACTTAAAAAAACAAGTTGTAAACTCAAAACACGCAATTTTATAGACATTAAGTTTAAAGTTAGTTTTTGAACTTTTTCGTTAAAGGAATCTGAGCAACGAAACTTTTGATTTCAAATTTTGATACAGCACGATAAAAAAGTAAAAATTGCACATAAAAACATTTATTACCTATGTTTTTTAATTGGAAATGTTTTTTTTTAACTCTTTTCTTCAAGCTTTTCAAAAAAACTATATCTTATTAGTTAAATTTATGCATCAATAATATCATTGAAGTAAACTTGTTTTGTGATTTTTTTTACTAAATTTCAACAAAAGCGGGCAAATTTGTGCGGGAAATACGTTCTTTTGGACTATGATGTGATAGATTTTTAACTCAAATTTACCAGCGAGTGCGAATTTTCTTATTCAGAGCCTCTTGTTACTCTTCAGAGTTTGGAATGTATATCATATAAGAGGAAGCGAATATGCGAAAGCATTATAGTGACCAATTTATGAGATGGTATTAAAAGTTCGGTCAAACTAGCGTGTTCACCTTATTAAACCGTATTTTTTTTAAAAACTTCAAAAATGTAATAGAATGTAAATAAATACAAATTTTTCAATAATTTTTACAAACCTTTATCAGAAAAAAGTATAAACATATAATTTACACATGAAACAATAAAAAAAATAATCAAAACAAAAGTATTAGAAAAATTTTATTAATTATTAATTTAAAATATTGATAAAAATTGATTTTATCAAAGTTTTCTTTTTTCTTTTTTTTTTTTTATAATAATTTTTTTTCATTCTGATTCACTTTAAACAAGGCTGCAAGCAATCACTTATATGTTTGGAGTTACAAGAAAAAAAAAAGAGTATAAAAAAAAAGAGTATAGAGATTAAAGAGTAGAGTGTATATATATATATATATATATATATATATATATATATATATATATATATATATATATATATATATATATATATATATATATATATCATGGCCTACTTAAATTACACGGCCTCATTTGTTGCATTTTCCGTAAAAAATTAAGAGGCCAGTTTTTTTACGGCTCAAGTATAAAAACTTCATTTTTGTAATGGTTAAGAGTCTTGTTTGCACTATAGTTGTTTTATCTTTATTTTATTCAAATGGTTTAATAATAGTTAGATTTTCTTTGAGAACTTACATTATTTTGTGCTAGATTTTTTGTTAACTGATTGCCTGCTTCAGTTTATTCCAATAACAAAGAATACTGAAATAGGCTTTCAGATAGCTATATTAACACAAACCAACATGCTACCAAAAATAATCTTACATATTGCTAAAACTACTCATAATTCTCCATTGGAAATAATTTTAAAGGTTTGTAATTTTGTATTTAATATAATTTTCTTCAAAATATTTACACTGCAAAGCATGGTTTTCCAATGTAAATACTTTATTATGCTGCATGTCTCAAGCATACAGTAATTAAAATGCAACAAATCAGGCCATTTATTTACATTAGGCAAGAAATATCAGGCATACCAACTGTTTTGGAGTCAATAGCTGTTAATAAATTTCTAATTTTTTTCATTGCCAAATAAATGCTTATCATATTTCTTTATTTAAATGATTTCGCAGTGGTGAAAATTACAAATTAAAAAATTATAATATATTAGAAAAATCGTTGACAAAAATTTGGTATCAAGAGATTATTTACTTCTTGTGGGTAAGATGTACTTCCAAAAAGCAGCCCAATACCAAAGTGGTAAACGATTTGATGAAGATTGAGAAAATAATCTTTTTTAAAAAGTTTTAAAAGAAGTTTTTTGTTTTTATGATTGTAGGGCTTCTCTATTTAAAATTTATTCTTATGTTTTGAAATCCTTATCTAAAGTTTACATAACTGGTTTATGTTTGAAAAAAGAAATTGATGAGTATATTACCTCAATGCACCAATCTGAATTCAAGATAAGAGCTGTTGTTACCGATAACCATTCTACAAATGTTAATGCATTTTTGTAGTTTAATAAAGCATATATTGGAGATGGAAAAGTATTAATTTATCATTTAGTTTAGAAAACGAGTGTTTAAAACATACTTGTTATTCTCAGTTTTTGTTTTTTTCTTCTTGTTGAAGTTACTGCTGATTACATTACAGGGAATATATTTCTTAAAGTTTATTAAAAGATCAATTATTAAACAGGCAAGAAAAAGCAATAAAAATTAATTATCAAGTCACATATTTTGGAAACAACAAACAAGTTGTCAACATTGAAAATATTTGACGAAACAACTGCAGCTGTAATTGAGAGTTATTTTTCTGAAAGAAATAACGCAGCACAATTTTTATCATTGTTTTATAAGTTATTTATCATACTTAATTCAAAGCAGAAACTTAATTCATCCAATCAAACTCAGCAGTGTTGCTTTGAAAGGTGATAACAAACCCACACTTTATAGAGAAATTGCAAATTGTACTGAAATTTGATATATACTTTACATTAGCCAAACAAACTTCTTGTGCTCTAATTACAACACTAAAAGTAATTGTATTTCTTATGCATGAAGGCTTTACATTTGTTTATAGTTCCAATTTACAAAGTAATCCTTTAAAGCTAGGTTTTAGTAAGTATAGTTAAATGACCAGTAGTAGACTTTTTGTGAGTCTTTTAGAAATATGCATTAGTAAAAAGATTTTGGCAGATTTTCTCAGAAAATATTTATCAGAATTTTGATAATCCTTAAAAAATATTATGCAAAATATTTCTTAGTTGTCTACATAAATACTACTGTCAGCATTCTGAAGATAGCACAGATATATATACTAAAGCAAGTAATAATGGTAAAAATTAACAAAAAGATTTTAATGTAAAACTTATGATCAATAAACGTTACTTTATAAAGAGAAGAATCTATATATTCAATTCAACCTCTGTCTAATTTTATTTGTCATCTTTTTAGTATTTTATGTTATTTCTCTAATGAAACATTGCAGTCATTCTTTTTTAATTAAAAATTTGTGAAACAAATTTTAAAGATTTGATCTAGGAGTTTTAATTTTACAAATAAAAACCACCAACAATGGGGAATCAAATATAGATTTTGTATTGTTTACAATATTTTTTATAATAAAAAATAACATATTCATTGAGAAAAGATCAAGTAAAAGAATTCCAAAAAAGACAATGACAAAATAAACATTTCTAACAAAAATTTCTTTTAATTTCAATTATAAAAAATACAAAAGTACAAACCTTTCTTTTGTTCAATAGAGAGTTTTAGGCAATCTTAGCAACATGAAAGATTATTTTTAGTAGCATGTTGGTATGCGTTGATATAGTTATCTGAAAGCCTATTTCAGTATTCTGTGTTGTTGGAATAAACTGAAGCAGGCAATCAGTTAACAGAAAATCCAGCACAAAATAATGTAAGTACTCAAAGAAAATCTAACTACTATTAAACCAAAATAAAAATAAAACAATTATAGTGCAAACAAGACTCTTAACCATAACAAAAATGAAGTTTTTTATACTTGATTTTTTACGGAAAATGCAACAAATCAGGCCGTGTAATTCAAGTAGGCCATGATATATATATATATATATATATATATATATATATATATATATATATATATATATATATATATATATATATATATATATATATATATATATATATATATAAGTCACTGTTTAACTGAAGAAGATGTTTTAGACTGTTCAACCGTTCAATGATGATAAAATTTTCATCAAAGCCTGCTTTGTTCCAAATGTTATGATGCACACATTTGGAACAAAGCACTCTCTTATGATGCACACATTTGATATTTCGTTTCTGTTATCAGCATAACACATACTACCACTGCATTTAAGCTTGTTTGTACTCGCTAGAGAACATCCAATTTTGGAGGACAATGTTTGATTGCAGTTGAATAAGTCCGATTAAACCAGTAAATTCTTCGACAAACTTCCCCACCAGTCTATTTGGAGAAAATATTTTAAGAGGGTACCCCAACAAATAAAGACTTCTTCTTCCATTAGCTTTTCCAACATATCCTGCACTAGCCATATTTAATATTAGTATCTATACTAAAAAATACAACAGAATTGATCACAAAATATACAGTTTTTTTATACATATTTTACATATAGGGAAAAATTGTAATTAAGTAATTAAATTAAAAACACCTTCTTCAGCTAAACAGTGACTTTGAGCCCAGATATTTTTATGGTGGTCTACTGGGACCAAATAAGGAGGATTTACATAGTGCACAATGTTGAATTCAAAAATATTTTTTTTCTGGGACACCCTAATAAATATATATATATATATATATATATATATATATATATATATATATATATATATATATATATATATATATATATATATATATATATATATATATATATATATATATATACTTTCGATTTACTTGTTTATAAAAAATCTATAAAAATCCATAGCTTTTTCATTTTACCTGCAATGTATTCTTTAACTTTATCTATTTCTAGCCTACACTTTCTTCTATATCACTACATCCTGATTATCTGCAACTGTATGCTCTACATGTTCGATATACTTTCTTTTTTTTTTTTTTACTGTAAATAATGATTTATTAATTTGATCTAATTATTATTTAAATGTATCGCAAAAATGAATCTTGAGAAAGAAAATAAATCGAAAAAAAAACTAGTAAAAAAAACAGTATGTCGGCTCTCACCCAAAAGTTTTGAGTTTTATAAATGAACTAGCGCTGTTTGAGTGGACAGAGAATCAATATATCAAAAGACGTTTTGTTTATGTTTATTATAACTATTATAACGTAACATATATAATAACTTTTATAATATAGTATAATTTGTCATAATAAAGTATTATTTGTTATCATAAATATTATATAATATATATAATAACTACTATAATATAATATAATTTGTTTATATTTGTTATAACTATTATTACTTGATGTGTATTATATTATAATTTTTAATCATTTAACATGCGAAAAGTTTCTTAACAGTCGAATTACATTTTTATAACAACAAATAAATTCTGTTAATTTATTTTTGGTTTTCACTTTAACTCTGTAAAATGAGTCAAGTAACTATTTGTTGAATTAACGGAGTTTTTCCGTTAATTTGAATGGAAAAAATGAAATACGGAAAGCGTGAATTTTAAGGAGAAAGTTTTGTTTATAACAGTTTAGTGCTTGCCAATATTTGTATCAGTTTTGTTGTTTTAATTACTATTTTTCCCAGTTAAATAAAGCATTAGGAAAAAAATAGAATAAGAAGCCTTTTAGTACACTTTACTGTATCCTATCTATAATAGCAATAGGAACAAATAGATTTGATGAGAAATGAAGATAATCATCTTATAACTAAAATAAATAGACTGATCAAGTTTGAGATAAAGTTAGAATTAGCTGATGAACAAACCTTAAAAAATCACTTTCAAGTTTAAACTACGTTTAACCATGTTTGATGTTAATGTGATGAATGCACTCACTAAAACTTTATTCTCTAAATTTTATGTTTGTGGAGTAAGTTTAGTGAAATAATATAGCATTGATCAGATTTAAACCAATCAACGAAAAAGCTTTATCTTTCGGTCTATCTACTATAAATTGATGACTTAAATTTTTGAGCATATTTTGCATTTGGGATACTAGATGAAAAAACATAAAGAAAATAAAGCTTTAAAGAGGACTTAAGTCTTTTTTAGGGCTTGAGTATATCAACAATAAAATTTTTTATTGTTGACTTACTCAAGCTGGGTTTTGGGCAATACCGATGATGAGAACACTTTCATAATGTCATACGAAAATACTTATTTCTTTGCTAATATAAAAGGAAAAGTGTAAGATAATTATCAGATTTAGGGCAATGATAAGATTAGTATGCTTTTGCTATGAGTTGAACTCTGAAAAATTTGATAAGTATTGTTATGAAACTACAGCTCGAAAAGTAAAAAATTATAAAATATTCCAGGTATTTTATTCTTAGAAAAATTAGATAATTTAGACACGCTAATTTGGTCTTCTGAATCTAATTTTTTTTTTTAATTAGTCTTCGTGCGTGTTTAAGACTCATACTTGCATTTCATTAAGTTCGTTCATTAAGTACACGTAGAGCTAATTGAAAAATACGTAGTAATCTATTATATTGTGTTTTGGATTGAGGAATTTAAACTTTTATATAAATCATTATTTACGCGCGTAAACGATACCATCACGTGTATGGTGGCCCATCGTTGTCATAAGAAAAAATCGATGCCATTGCCATATGGCTTTACTTAATTATAAATTCCGAGTGAAAAAAAAACAAAAAGGCAAATGTTGGAGTAAGCAAAAAAAGAAAAAAAGTGAATTCTAAAGATAGTAACAAAAAATTTAGAAAAATAGAGTACCTTACCGTGCAGCATTCGTAAGCAAATGTTAAAGGTAAGGTTCAGAAGCACAGTAGAACGCGAGCCTTTATTACGGTTTTACTTGATAACCAAGATGATAAAAATAAAGAATTGACATTAGCCATAATAAATATTTATCTGTATATATATTTTTAAATAAATATCAATAATATATATCAATATATATTTATTTAAATAAATATCATTAGCCATAATAAATAAAGCAAGCGTGTATTTTACACTTTAATATGGAATGAGTTGTGGTGTTCTAGCGCACAAGACCGTCGTATAAAGAAATAAAATTTTTACCAATGTAATCCATGTAAGATTTATAGTGAGAAGTAGCGAAAGAGAAAGACACAAAACTGTTTCTTTTAGAGACTCTTTTTATGGAACCTCATCAGTTGTAGCAAGTTGTCAAAAATTGGCAAGTTCAAATATAGCTCAAACTCAATGAAGTTAATAAATGCTTTTGCGCCAAACAACTGCGATTTTTCTCAAAATTCTATTCGTTTCTTCAATGTCGAGACTTAATGTTGTGGTAACAAAATGCAAATCCACATCTGCAACCATTTAAGTTTCCGAATTTGACATTCACAAAACCTCAGTGTGTACTATAATTTTATAATAATAAGTATAACTTTTTATTATTTTCTTTAAAAATCACTTTTTTTTTTCGTTTACTTACTACAGTTAAAAGTTTTATGACGCTATTTTATTTTTAAAGATAAACAAACCCATGCGCGATAAACTTACCGTTACGTTTTGTTTTTCTTTTACACGGAAATTTTTCATGCAGAAATTTTTTGTCTCATGTCAACGACGGGCCACCATACACGTGCTAGTTATAAGTTTCACGCTAAGTTAATTTTTAATAACGAAGTTTTTTGACGAAAAAAACGCATTGATGATATAATTTTTACGGAATTTATATCGTTATAAAAATTTTTTGTGTTTTTCATCTTAATTTTTACTGACTTTTTTTATGCAAAAAAAATAAAATAAAATAAAAATCAATATACGCTAAAAACATACTTTTAAGTATGGAATATTCACAATTAAAATCGTGAATATTCCCATGAATGAAGAAATTCCACAATAAGTTTTTGCGAGATATAATAAATAAATACTTCCTTCGTTCCAATTTGCATTCGTATTATTGAAGATAAATTATAGATTTTTCCATACATTTTCCTTTAATGCAATGAACATTTTATGTCGTAAGATGGTTTACTACATCATCTAGGTTAATTTGTTTTCTTAACGAAAAAATTTGCCTAAAAATACTGCTTCGTTTTGTTAAAAACATATTACTTTAAAATTTAAAACAATTTCTTTTTTAGTGAAGAAATAGGAAAATAGCAACATAATTTTGAAAATTCTAAACAACATTAAATACTTTCTAATTAACAGATGGCTTTAATTAATTGTAGTGATTTAAATCGAATAGAATCAAGTGTTCAATTGTAAAAAAAACGTTAAAATCGGAACACTTATTTGGAACAAAGGGAGTAATAAACTTTTAATATGACTGCTTATTATGTTATTATATTGAATAGCTATTTTTTATTCTAAATTATTTAGAACATAAAGTTATTTAAGCAAAAAAATATATAAAATAAAACTAATACTGCAAAATAAATTCCAAATTTATATTTATTATCCATTGGAAAGATGGATAACTAAAAATTAGATTTACAGATCAAGATAATTTCCACTGGACGTGCGACTTCATACTCAGATCAAAGCTCGTTTAACAATAACGCGGTGGAGCGAAACAGATTTGGCTAAGAATGAGCACTAACAAGAATGCACTCGATGATAACCATGTGCATAAGAGCAAACATATTGAACATCACTCATGCTTTAAACAGGTGAAACCTTTGCATTAATACATTAAGCGATATACTGAAACAACGCATACAGCAAAAAGCAGGAAAATCCACCATACTGAAGGCCTTACTGAAGCCAAAAAACCTATTCTTCGCCATTAAACTATTTTGGGCGCTGATGACGCTTTTGTTCCTGAAGAAGCTGCTCCAGTGGGGAGAGCGCACCTTGACCCATCGCAAAGTTGGAACTCCAGATACTCTTTAAAATAACAACAATAACATTATTGATATATACATATATATATATATATATATATATATATATATATATATATATATATATATATATATATATATATATATATATATATATATATATATATATATATATATATATATATATATATATATATATAATTATGTATATATTGGTAGATAAGTTTAACATACTAGTATTTTATATATGCTTTCGTAATTACGTGATCTATCAATTTATTTATTTTAATTTTGTTTTATATTTATATAAAACTATTATATTTATATATCTAATAATAGCTATAAAATGTAAACAAATAGTCAAAGCTTACTCGACTGCTTGAAGCAATAGGAAGACCGTTAGAGGAAACCCAGTTGTCTTCAGATACCGCAGATAAACCTGAGACACCTTGATGATTATTTTTCACAGGGGAAGGCATAGAATTACCAGTAATACCAGGTGGTGCTCTTACAGCAGTCTGCCCAATTACACCAAAATTTGGACTTGATGAGCTTGGGAATTGATTTACAAAAGAGTTTGGGTGCACTAGATGATTATTTATAAAACCAGGCTGCACTTGATGGTTATAGGAGTATTGAGAGTTTACAACAGACTTCATAGGAGATGCGCTTTGTTTTTGTTGCTCAACAAATGAAAGAGAATGCTGATTGATAGGACTCATAGGTGATTGAACCATAGAGTTAGGCACAGATGAACTTAAATGGAGGGATTTCAATTGAGTAGGTAATTGATCAGAACGATCTTGACTGTATAAGGTGTGTCTTGCAAGCGGCTGAGATTGGGTAAAAAGCTGTTGTGGTGAAGATGAAGGTTGATATTGATGATCAGTAGATCTATTAATAGGAGCTGAACCAACAGGTAGCTGTGCTGAACCCATATAAGTTTGACCGGAAACAGGAAATAAACTACTTAAAGGCATCATCGGAGATGTTTCTTTAGAATCTAGACAACATAATTTTTTTTTTAAATTTGGAATTATAAACATATTTAACAACGCAATAAAAACACGTTAAGTAAATATTTACGATCTCCTGGAGATACATTCTGCAAATTAGCATTCCACATAGTATCAAAAAGTGAATATGAGTTAATAGGACCCCTCACAGAAGATAAATCCTGAATGCCACATTCTTCAGAATCAGTTCGAAATAAAGATCTAATGAAAAACAGGTTTATTGAATAATCATTTAATAACTTAAAGGAAATAACTAATAATCATTTAATAACTTAAAGGAAAAACTAAAAAGAAAAAATCTAGTAAAATGGAAAGCACCTATTTTCAGAAAATGGTGATTTGCTTCGTGAATCATTCTTTTTCTAAATTATTTTATTAAATATATTAGACAAAAGTTTAAATATATAAGTCAGATATGTCAAATATATTCGAGTATTCTAGAAAGAGTGTTCAATGTTTTAAAAGAACAGAGCAGTAATAAATTAGTAAATGTATATATATGTATATATATATATATCGCGTAGCTTTATTTTCTACTATATATATATATATATATATATATATATATATATATATATATATATATATATATATATATATATATATATATATATATATATATATATATATATATATATATATATATATATATATAGTAGAAAATAAAGCTACGCGATTTTCAACAAATTTCACTTTCATGCTACTGCAATCATCAGGTGAAATACAAATATAGTTTTTTTGTTAAAAAATTATATACAATAGGAACTAGTTACATAAAACTTTTCTTGTTCTATCTACAAATGTAATGAATTAATGTTCTATCTAGTATATAAAATATATACAAAATATATATATATATATATATATATATATATAAATACAATGTTCTACCTGATATAATATATTATATTACATAGAATATTGTATTTATTTATATATTTTTTTTTTTTATTTTAAATACTTTAAGTACTTATTTTAAATATTAGATACAATATTTTATTTATTAAATTTGTAGATACAACAAAATGATACTGAGGGGACGATATATATATATATATATATATATATATATATATATATATATATATATATATATATATATATATATATATATATATATATATATATATATATATATATATCAACACATTTTTATAAAGAAGTATTTATTTAAAACCTGGTGAATATTTGGAAGAACATCGAAAAGTCCTTTGACGGCCATACCAAAAGCATCTGGGTTTACAGTAACATTGTCTTCAATACGAGTCTATACAAAATATAAGATATGCTAATATATATATATATATATATATATATATACACACACACACACACACACACACACACACACACACACACACACACACACACACACACACACACACATGTGTTTTGGTAAAAATAAAATTTGCAACATAAAGGCATTACCGCAGGATAATGGTTTTAATTTTATAATGGTTATAATTTTGTTTGAAATATTATTTTCTATTGTAATAGAAAATTTTTACTTTGGATACTTTTAATTTTTGGTTAATTTCCTTTAGATCCAAAAAGTATAATTCAATCATCAATAATTTTACTTTTGCATTTTTTACTATAAACCCTTTAGGAACAAAATGGAGTGTGTGCAGACAATTTCTACCAAGATCAAGAAGTCCTGGAAATCTCCAAACGTTGGTGTAGTTCATTGGGATAGCAACAAAAATGTTATGGAAAAAAAGCTTCCCATTTTTCTTTTAGGTAGCTATATATTAAAACTTGCAAGCCAATTCATGTGTGGCAGGCATGGTGTTTGACACAACAGCATCAAATACTGGGGCTATAACTGCAGGTTGTATTTCAATGCAAAATATATTGAACAGGCCACTTCTGTGGCTAGCTTGTCATCATCACATAGAAATTATACTAACTTATGTATGGAACAGTTTGGAGATGTTTCAAAGAGAAGTTTCAAAAGTTCCTAATATCAATCTATTTTTAAGGTAATCTACATATTTAGTCAAATGTTTTATTATTAGTTATTATTTAATGACTGCTTTATTTGGTTTTTAGATTTAAGAAAAACTTTGAACATCTGAGTTGTGTAACTATTGAAGACCTTGACATCCCTCAAATTTCACAGTCCTTGAAAAACAAAAAAGATGCCATTATCTTTGCCAAGAAGCAATGAGACAAAATTTTAACAGAGGTGATTATAGAGAACTTGTTCAACTAACATTGTTGTATCTAAGCAGTGGGCAAAATGTGCTATTTCCTGGGTTTATTAAATTAGGTGCTTTGCACAATGCAAAGTGGATGGCAAAGTTGTTGTATTCTATAAAGCTTGTACTGTTGAGCAAAAAAATCAGCTAGTTTCCTAAAGAAACAATTTTTGCTCTACAACAACTTCCTAAGCTACAAAGGATTGTACAGTTTGTTGTATTTTGTTACATTCCATGGTGGCTCAGTGCACCTATACCTTCAGCAGCTCCTACTAACGATTCAACTCTTATTAATTCATTGTTAGAGTATAAAGTTATTGATTTATCTATTGCTAATGCTGCTCTGAAAGCTTTCGGTAATCATATGTGGTATCTCACTGAGGAGTTAGCTCCACTGTCTCTATTTAATGATAACTTAGAGGACAAGCAGCGGCAAAAGATTGCAAATAAATCACTAATAAAGTATGTGACATTGAATAAAATAACTTCAAAAAGAAAAGGGTCAGGGTTTGGTAAACCTATTTTTCCAATAGTTCCTAAAAGCGAATTCCTGAAGCGAATTCCAAAGAACTGATGTTCGATGAAAAAAAACTAGACAAATAAAAGTTTTTGGAGCATTTAGAAATAGTCATAGAAAAAGGATGAGACCTAATTGAATGACGTGTGACACAAGAATGAAATTTAGTAGATGGTACACGAGCTAGTTCTTTAGAGTAGTGTCTGTTATAGTATTTCTAGAAAAAAGAAAGAGAAAGAACATTACGACAATGTAATATTGGTTGGAAGTTGGCTGCAAAAGCAAGCTCAACTATGTTTACAATGCATTTTTGCATCTTGTCTAAAAGAAAAAGAGCATCATTGGAAGATATGCCCCAGATATGGCAACAGTATTCCATACAAGAACGAACTTGAGATTTATAGAGATAAAGAATAGAATCCAGAGTATTAAAAAGTGTCAAGCTCGATAAAGAGATGCAACCTTAGCAGATGCTAATTTTGAAATGGATTTGATATACGGTTTCCAAGAAAGATCAGAAATAAGAGTTAATCCTAGAAGATGAAGGGCAGATGACTCGTTGAGTACATCACTGTTTATAAATATAGGAAAATCTATATTATTGTGGTAATGATTGGCTGAAAAAAATTAGATTTTATCTGAATTAAAGTTCACCAGCCACTGAAGCAGAGGTGAGATCCATTTCAGTCTCAAATGCCCCCTCCAAGCAATCAGAGAGTGTTGGCTTCTTATCAATTACATTTAAAATAGATTGCATTTTAATCTTTATAATTAAATATTATTTTTTATAATCTAATAACTCCATATAAAATTGTTTAAACTAACAGTGACATAAATAACCTTTGAGGATATCATTTGATTTATTATAAAACATTGAGTTTATTATAGATATATAATGTTTTTATAATTAAATAATATAAATAAAATATTAAGTTTTTGTAGTGTTGTGAATGTCACTAAACACACAAATGCAGAGATGTGGGTTCAAATCACGGAGTAAAATGTTCTTATTGTTGTAATATTTTATGTTTTATCTCAAAGTATATATTTTATGCGTAATAACTATTGTTTTTTAATAATACTTATATTTTCATTAGTTTTTATTTAACAATTATATTATTATTATTTATTTTTTTAATCGATAATTATATAGCTGTAGACCGCAGCTACAGCTATATAATTGACTGATATAGCCTTGCAGCAGAGCCTAAATCTATTAAATGACGTTCATTTAATCTAGTTTTTGGACGACTGCTGACTACAAATGAATCCTCTATATAAACATAATATTTTGACAGAAAATGACTAAAATATTTATTATGCTTTTTTTTTAGGATAGTTTTTACAGAATCAAAACAATATTTACCTGTGCTAAACAGATAAAATCACCAGTATTTTCATCTTTGGAGATAAACCTGAGTTAAATAATATTATTTTAGAGAGGTTGAAATTTTAATATAAAATACAATACTTTATGTATTAAAAGAAATGTACAATGTAATAAATATGTAAAGGTAAAGAAAAATTATTAATATGCGTTTATTTTTTATTTTTATTAATATATATATATATATATATATATATATATATATATATATATATATATATATATATATATATATATATATATATGTATATATATATATATATATATATATATATATATATATATATATATATATATATATATATATATATATATATATATATATATATATATATATATATATATATATATATATATATATATATATATATATATATACAGGGGTCGAAATAGGTGCCGGACATTGCCGCCCCTCAGACCATTTTTGAGACCTGCTATATGAGGGCAGCCAACCATTGTTCATTTTTATTGCAAAAATGAACAATGGTTTGTTGCCCTTATCTAGCAGGTCTCAAAAATGATCTGAGGGGCGGCAGTCCGACACTTATTTCGACCCCTGTATATATATATATATATATATATATATATATATATATATATATATATATATATATATATATATATATATATATATATATACATATATATATATACATATATATATATACATATATATACATATATATATATACAACTTGTAATTAGTTTGCTGCCTTTTTTATATAAAGCAATTTTATATGTGGAAATCTGCACACATAACACATTTATATAAAAAAGGCAGCAAACTAATAACAAGCAATTATCGTCAGAATTTTCATCAGAATGGAAAGAGGTTCGGAGTGGTGTACCGCAAGGATCCGTTCTAGGTCCTATTTTATTTATAATATATATTAATGATATGCCAAAACTATTAAAAAGTGTAAATAAATTGTATGCTGACGATACTAAACTATTAGCAAAAATAAATAATATCAACAATATAAATGTATTACAAAATGACATAAATAAAATCGCTAAATGGTCCTAAACATGGCTTCTTTACTTGAATGAGTCAAAATGCAAAGTAATGCATCTCGGCAAATCAAACAAACATCATAATTATACAATTCCATCAATAGCAAATAAAATAACTAGTATATGCAGTACAAACAATGAAAAGGATTTAGGTGTTATTTTATCTAGTAAGACGAAATATCATAGTCAAGTTATGTATGCATCAAATAAAGCAAATAAAATACTTGGAATGTTAAGCAGGACTTTCACCTATATGGATAGCAAACTTATCAAAACATTGTTTACAGCGTTTGTGAGACCTCATTTGGAATTCGCAATACCGGCGTGGAAGCCTTACCAAAAAAATGACATAATTCTAATTGAACAAGTACAACACCGAGCAACTCGTTTGATTCCATCACTCAGAAAATTGAATAACAAAAAAAGATTAAAAATTATGGGTATTCAATCTCTTGTTGACCGTAGAGTTTGAGGTGACCTAATACAATGTTTTAAAATAATATATATATATATATATATATATATATATATATATATATATATATATATATATATATATATATATATATATATATATATATATATATATTATTTACACATAGAAAAAACTACTTTTCATGGGACTATAAGTTTCATGCGTATGCTGCAATTATCAGTCATGTACTATATCAAAAACAAACAAACCGTTAATAAAATTACAAAATACAGTGGAGCGACATCTGAAGTCTCTATAGAGACAAAACAAGAAAATGCAAAGAAAATTTTATATAAATATATATAAATCAGCTAATTGCTAGTATCATAAAACGAAAGAAGGAATTAATTTTTATGCCTACAATTTGAAACCAACTCATTCCTTTTGTTCAACAGATTTTCCCCTGTATGCGTTAAAATAAAATACTTTTCATTAAGATAAAGATTGCAAATTTTGGACGAAGGATTATATGTTTGGCAGCACTTGATAATTTTCCACTTAGTAACAAACGAAAAGTTTTCTTTAAGCTTCCAAATTTCTTTAGATAATTCCATATCATTGCTGTACTTATTTAAATTAAAAGATTTTAAATGGTTTGCATACCTTAACTTAAATGGGGTTTCGCTAATACCAATATAAACTTTTTCTGTGTAATCTGGTTTATTGGATGAAACAGTAGCTTGATACACAATGTTCTTACTTAGACACTGGTTGTTCATAATGCAGGTAGTTTTATTAATGCAGTTGCAGGTTTTTGTTGCTGTTTTTTTATGTATAAAACTAATGTATACATTTTTTATGTATAAAATATTTAAAAAGCTTTTTTACTTATTAATTAAATATTTTTTAATTTTTAATTAAATATTTAAAATAGCTTTTTTATGATTGTATAAAATATTTAAAACAGCTTTGCTTAAACCAATGGCAAAGCTCGCAAGATGTTTTACATTGGTTTCAAGGTATTAATAAAAAACCTCTATACACATTTTTTATTTTTGATTTAACTGACTTTTACCCATCGAATAATGTAAAACTACTTAGCGACACAATAGAGTTTGCTGGTCAGCACCTAGTTATAAATCAAGAAGATAGGAAATTTATTATACACGCAAGAAAATTTTAAATCTTTACCAATGGCGATTCTTGGATAAAAAAAAAACGGAAAATTATTTGATGTAACTATTGGTGCTTATGATGGTGCAGAAGTATGCAAATTAGTGATAATTTTTATGTTGCACCAACTATCTCAATATTACAACGAGTAGGAATTAGGTTTATACCGGGATAGCCGTATAAACTAGCTATATTTAAAAATCGTAGTGGCCAACAAATGGAAAAAATAAAGAAGCATTTTGTTAATATTTTAAAAAAAATTGTCTCCATTTATCTATCAGCTGTAATGTTAAAATTGTTAATTATCTCGACTTAACACTAAATCTTAACAACAGTACCTTCCAACCTTACTCAAAGCCCGATAACACTCTTAGTTATATACACAGACTCTAACCACCCTCTGTGCATATTAAAAAGTCTACCATGAACAATTTAACAAAGATTGTCTACTGCATCTTCAAACAAAAAAATTTAAAAAAAAAAAGCTGTTTCTCCTTATCAGGATTAATAAAATCGGGTTTCTTACCCAAGCTCAAATATCAGTCAAATATTTTAACCCATTCAAAACAAAAATCACAAATGGAACATTATTTGGTATAATCCCCAATATAGTAGAAATGTTGCAACAAAAAAAGGTTTTTTTTTTAAAAAATAATTGATGCAAGCTTTTCTGTCATTTATTACACGAGATTTTTAACAGAAACACCATCAAAATTAGCTACTCTTGTATGCCAAACGTTAAATCAGTCATTAATTGGCATAATCAAAATATTTTATACAATCATAAAAAAACAGCAACAAAAACCTGCAACTGCATCAATAAATCTACCTGCATTATAAACAACCAGTGTCTAAGTAAAAACATTTTGTATCAAGCTACTGTTTCATCCAATAAACCAGATTACACAGAAAAAGTTTATATTGGTATTAGCGAGACCCCATTCAAGTTAAGGTATGCAAACCATTTAAAATCTTTTAATTTAAATAAGTACAGCAATGATATGGAATTATCTAAAGAAATTTGGAAACTTAAAGAAGAAAACATTTCATTTTTTACTAAGTGGAAAATTATCAAGCGCTGCCAAACATATAATCCTTCGTCCAAAATTTGCAACCTTTGTATTAATGAAAAGTATTTTATTTTAACGCATACAGGGGAAAATCTGTTGAACAAAAGGAACGAGTTGGTTTCAAATTGTAGGCATAAAAATAAATTCCTTCTTTCATTTTATGATACTGGCAATTATCTGATCTATATAAAATTTTCTTTGCGTTTTTTTGTTTTGTCTCTATGGAGACGTTAGATGTCGCTCCACTGTATTATGTAATTTTATTAACGGTTTGTTTGTTTTTGATATAGTACATGGCTAATGATTGCCGTATAGGCATGAAACTAATAGTCCCATGAAAAGTTATTTTTTCTATATGTAAATAAAAAAAAATATATATATATATATACCTCTCTAGTTAGAAAGTTGTTTACTTTCTTTATTATTGAGCACTCTTAACCGAAATAGCGTTTTGTATTATTATTGTAATAAACATCAATCAATATATATATATATATATATATATATATATATATATATATATATATATATATATATACACATATACATACATACATACATATACAAGCCTTCCTGGAAAGCACGTGCAGTTGCAAACCTTGTTTATCCATGCCTAAAGTAATTATTTTAGACAACTTGACCACATTTTTATATAGTAAGCTTTTTAAGAATTTGCTACAAAATAAAGCTATAAGAAACTAGAAAGAATAAAACAGCAATACTCAAAGAAAGGAAATATACTCAAAAAAAGACTATATGAAATAAAAAATCTAAATAAAAATAAGCTAAATAAAATTAAATATTAAAAAAAATAATGATGTCAAATAAATGATATACTTAAATATCTTTGTTTTATTTTTATTTTATTAGGGCGTTTGTTCTTTTCTATTACCAAAATTGATACAAGTCAAGGAAAAAAGCAGATAAAAATGTAACGAAAATAAAAATATTTTTAGGTATACAATCTTTTCTTAAATTTTTTCAGTCAGTATATTAAGCAATTACTTTATTACTTGTGCCAGAAACATCAACAATTTTTAAATTTGTTTTTCAAATGTTTTTGCTTTACTGTTTTTATAAATACACAGGAAACCGAGAAAACTAATTGCTATTTATTTGTCAAAGTTCTTTATTTTTTTAAAAAAGTTTTTCATGTAAAAATATAAAAAGTCATTAATAATTATATCTAAATATAAAATTTTTGTTTGTTTTCACTACCCCCATTGAAATAGTTTGCACTTTTGTTGGATTATCCAAATTGTGCGTTTAAACCTGATAGTTTATTTCCTGATGAACTATTGTTATTGATTATTAAAATGTTTTCTTAAGCTTTTAAAAACATATTTTCAAACAGAGCAATCGTTATGATCATTATCTCTAGTAATTTGTATTAACGTTTTAAATATGGCAATATAAAAGAAACAATTTCAGACATGCATCAAATGCAGTAAATACATTTATAAAAGAATCCATGATATTCCTTAATTTAATTTAATCAGTCTTTACAGAATTTATTAATCAAATAATATATTATACAAATAAATAACAATTTATTTTCTTATATTCATATTATATAAGTATTGAGAAAAAACGTTATATATAGCAAAAACATTTTTAAAAGCAAAAAGACATTGAATCGAATAAACGTAAGGAAAAAAATTAACATTTCTCATAGCAAATTAGTTTCTCAATTATACAGACTGATAAAAATCATGAATATCAAATTGCATATCAAAACTGTCAATTGTTATTAAATTTTTATAAAAGATATGTTTTTTTTCATCAACTTGTTCAATTTTGTTTCCTTTGGTTAGGATTGTTTTTTCTTCTCAGTAGATAAGTTTAACTTTTTGCCAGAATTATTGAAACACATTATAAGTTAAAAGATGCGAACTGCCGTGGTCAGTGTGTCTGAAAAAATTACTTTAAACGTGGACGAACAAGGTGTGCGATCGCAGAATTTTATTTACAAATACAAAATGGTATTTTGTATTTGTAAATAAATACAAAAACTCTTGTATGTATAAGAATGCTCAATAATAAAAAATTAAGATTTATTTATTTAACAAAATATCATTATATATATAAATTTGTAAACAAAGAAAATACAACTTTTTATGGTACTAATAGTTTCATGCCTAAAGGCAATCATCAGCCATGTAATACAAAATCAAGAGACTTCTTGATTTTGTATTACATGGCCAATATGTATATATATATATATATATATATATATATATATATATATATATATATATATATATATATATATGTATATATATATATATATATATATATGTATATATATATATATATAAACATATATATATATATATATATATATATATATATATATATATATATATATATATATATATATATATATATAAACTATATATATATATATATATATATATATATATATATATATATATATATATATATATATATATATATATATATATATATATATATATATATATATATATATATATATATATATATATATATATATATATATATATTAAAAAATGAATAAAGCATTACTTAGAAGGAATATGCTGCTGTGTCAACCATTCTAAAAACTGTATGATTCTGGTAGTACGAATTGAATATTGTTCTTCATTACTCACTTTATTTAGTTGCACTTTAAAATCAAAACGCCTAAATTATGATAGAATCTTTTTAAATAAACTAGCATAAAAATTAAAAAATAAATAAATTGAATAAAATATTAAATTTATTTCTGCTTTTCATCAGCTAACCATGAACGTTTCTTACTTGTGCACTTTTCTAAGACTGAGAATTCCAAAAAGTTGCCAATCTTCCAATAAAGGCATACCTAAATATTTAATAAAAATTATTTCTACAAAAATAAAAAAAATAAAAAAAAAATATGTAAATAAAAACATGTATATATATGTTTATATGTTTAAATATATATATATATATATATATATATATATATATATATATATATATATATATATATATATATATATATATATATATATATATATATATATATATATTATATATATTTTATATATATATATATGTATATATATTATATATATATATATTATATATATATATATACTATATATATATATATATATATATATGTATATATATTATATAAATATATATATATATATATATATATATATATATATATATATATATATATATATATATGTATATATATATGTATATATATATATATATATATATATATATATATATTATATATATATATATATATATATATATATATATATATATATATATATATATATAAATCTTACATGATTTTTCTTTTTCAGGATACATTTCTTGGAGTAGATTACCAAGTCTTGCCAAGCCATGGAATAATCTTCATATAAAACAATTTATAAAAATTAAAATTAAAATCATACACAAGTTTGGAATAAGATATAAATTATTTTATTTTTTTATTTTTATTTACTACAATTTTTTTTTTTAATTTAACTAAATTTGATGATTAAAATTGTGTTAGGTAACAAGGGTATGATATGAATGGTATTATATGTAAAAGGTAACACTGATATTATATGAATGATTTGTATAAAGTAAAGTATGTATTATAGATGCAATATTTATCATGATTAAACTTGAAAATTTGACAGAATAAAAGTAAACTGAAGAACAGAAGTAAACTGAGTAATAAAAACAAAACTCAGTATGTCTAAAAACAGATTAAAAAATTAAACTTTTGATTAAAAAGTTTGAACAAGGCTATTAACTAAACTAATTATTTATAATATATATATTTTTAGTAAGTTGAAATAAGTGAAAATGATAGTAATATATAATATTCTGCTGTTTCTAATATTTTTATGTTGTTAATTTGTTCTTTTTGCTGTCTCTAGTATATTGTTTTTTTATTTGTTTTTTCTGCTGTTTCTTGTATATTGTTTTTATGCTGTTTCTAGTATATTGTTTTTTACTTGTTCTTTTTTATTTATTTTTTGCTCTCTCTCTAGTATACGTTTTTCAATGCTTTTCTTCTTATGTCTCTAGTATATTGTTTTTTATGTTGTTCATTTGAACTTTTTGCTGTCTTTATATATTTATAAATAAAGAGAGCAGAAAATTTTTTTTTTTCAAAATTGTCTAAAGGTATTTTTAGCTGCTTGTATTCTTCTGTTGTCTTCTTCCAGCCCAAATATAAAAACAGTATTATATACAAGGACAGTTATGGGATTTATAGAGAATGAAATTAGGAGTAAGAAAATGCCAAGCACCAAAAAGATACACCTGATAAAGATACTTGACACCAGAAAATACTTGACTTTAGCTGTGGATTCTGCAATGGATCTAGTTTTCATAAGTAGTGAAAAATAACCCACAAAGACATTAAGATTCCATAACAATGATGCAAAACAAATGAGTTTTAGTTAAGTTAAAAATCACCAGCCACTGCAAATCCAACAGATCACATTTAAGATTGCTTGTTCAATCAAAAGAAAAGCAATAACAGATTATATAACATAATATATAGTTGTCTCATCAGCAAATAGAATCACTTAAGAGGTAAGATTGTCACTTAAGAGGTAAGATTGTCAAGAAAATTATCATCATAGAAATAAAACAGAGGACCAAGAACAGAATAAATGATAAGTGGTTTTAATTTGGTAAATTAATGAAATTTACTTTTTTAATTAATAAATAACAGGAAACTAAAGATAACAAGAGAAGCACAATTAAATTAAGTTAAATTGAGTTTCAAATCAAAATTTAAGAACTTTTGTGATACTGTTATTTTTTCTTTTCTTTCAACAATTGGTTAGGCTAGTTTTGTATTGTATTTAAAAATACTCAGTATTAAAAAAGTACAAATTATCACGCTTACTTTATTAGACATTTTTAACTTATTATAATACCAAGTTATTGAAACTAAAGTTAAATTACTAATTACTAATATTATTATTACTAACTATATTAATTATAATTATTATAGTTATATTTTATAGTTAAAACACATTGTACTAAACTAAATTTTTAAATCATAAAAAAATTATAGTATCAAAATGAAAATTTCATTAAATAATATATAAAAGATGTAAAAGTCAACATTGTGTAGTTTTTAATCCTTTAGTTCAATCCTTAAAGCAATGTAAAATAAAAATATTGTTTTGCTTTTTGTTCATGTTTTAAATATGTCTGAAGTAACACACTCTTTAAATAAAACCTTAAAAATAAAAATAAAACAATTCAATTAAAAGCTAGGATTAGAGTCATGAAGTTAAGATAACGTGACCCTAACGCTGAGATAATTTGTTTTTTTTTATATGTGAGAGATTGTATTGCGCCAGATGTACTAATTACAAATGCATTAACCTAGGTATAGATGTTAACATTAACCTAGCTTCAGATGTTAATGTAACCTAGGTTCAGGTGTATTTGTGTCAAGCAAAAAATAAAAACAAATAAATAATTATACTTTAGGCCACCTAACTTAATTATTAAGTTATTATTTTAAGAACTATGTGCAGTAAAACTTTTTAAACATAGTATTAGAAATCAGGTCTAATTATATTCAATAACAAAGATAGAGGTGTGGGGTTATGCATCCCTACAAGATTATCTTAAAAAAAGTTATATGCGCAAACTCTTCAATCATAACAAATTTTTAGTTTCCAGTTATTTTAAGAGTGCATTTGCAACTATTCAAGTAGTTGCAAATCCACTCCTAATAAGTAAAAGTAAAAATTGGTTAATAAAAGTAAAACAATTTTACTTTGTAAACTTATTTGTTTTTGACTAAGTTTATACTCAACAAATTAAATAATCAGATTTTTCAAACTTAGTAGTAAAAAATGGATGTAATAAAAAGTTTTAGTCATAAAAAAGTTTTAATAAAATAAACATAAATAAAGAAAAATTAAAAATTAAATAAAGCTGACTCAAGATTATCTCGAAGTTGCTTTTCTTCAAACAAATTCAGATTATTACAAATTATCCAATCGCAAAACACTTTTATGCCAGGTAAAAATTTCATTTTCTCACAAGATAAATCATTTGTACCAATCACTTCAACAGATAACACAACTAGTGTTTGCAAAATTCCAACGCTCAATGAAAGAATAAGATGCCATGTGTCTGATTCATCATCTGATATGCTCTCGATGGTACGATCATTGTAAAGTTTATTTTTTGAAAGAATAAAAATGCAGATACCAGCAACAAGTACAACCTGTACTTCAGACATTTCTTGAACTATATCCTATAAATGAAACAAACATTACTAGATGATGGAAGGTAACAATATCCTTATAGTAACAATAATTTTTGATATTTCATTAAATACTTAATTTTAAACTTGATTATTCAAAAATATCATTACACAGATTATACAAAAATTTTATAAAGACAATTTTCAAATCAATAAAGTATTATTTTTTACTTGGCTAAAATATGCTACCTTATAAATGTTTTTATACGTAGTAATTTTTTATATTTATATTTTTAACTTCAGTGCTTAAAATAAAAAGTTAACCATAACCTAGATTTTCCAAACATTTTGACATAATAAAAAAATATTCCACCATGTTTGACAAACTTTAAATATAAATAATCAAAAGAGAATGAAAGTGAAAATGATCATGAGACTGGAGAAAAAATATACATCAATTTGCAATCTCTAATCAAATCTGAAACGCATGGAAGAGCTCTGTTTTTTAACTCTAAACAGTATGAAATCTTGTCAATCAGCAACTTGCAAACAAATACTTCTATGCAATGCAAAATGAAATAAAAATTATTTAAACAATAATGGAGAGTAACAAAAAATATTTGAATATTTCATTAAACATTCAACTTTTGATTCTTTGATATTTGAGCAGCAATGGTGCAGTGTTTAGAGTTCTGGCTTAGAACCTAGAGGTCCAAGGTTTGATGCCAGCTCTACTCAAAAAGCAAAATTGGTATGGAAGGAGGTGTGAACTTCCTGTTAAATGCTCTCCCGCGGGGCTCTGTGATAAGACCGCAAGGGCTTCTGGGAGCACCTAAATAACTACATAAAAAAAAAAAAAAAATTCATTAAACACTTAATTTACAAATTGATTATTCAAAAATATCATTACACACTTGATTATACAAAAATTTGATAAAGTAAATTTTCAAATTGATAAAGTAGTATTTTTTACTACTTACTAACACTTAGTGATCTTATAAAAGTTTTTATACGTAGTCATTTTTTATATTTATGTTTTCAACTTCTCAAATAAAATATATAAAAAAATAAAAAAAAAAGTAATAATTAAGTAAATGAATAAATAATAAATTAATAAATAATAAGATTTGTCAAAAACTTTGACAAACCAAAAAAATACTCCATTTTTGGCAAGCATTTTTTTTGTAAATATAAAAATCATATTTATATGATTTTGATCAATTGAAAATGAAAGTGACCACCAGACCCAAGAAAACTTAAACATCATTTACGATCTTTAATTAAACATGAAGTGCAAGGATGAGCTTGAATTCTTGTCATGTGAACAACTTGTATTGCAAACAAAAATTTCAGTATAATGCAAAATAAATAAAAAAATTAATTATTTGGTAATGGCACATCAACTATCCAAAAAAGTTATATTATAAATAAATTAAATATCAGCAGGGATTTAGAACTATTTACAATGATTAACTAATGATTAGTCCGACACAATTTACAATCATTGATTACAATGATTGATCAAACACTATATACAATCTTCATTAATGATTGGTCCAACACTATTTACATTCTTCATTAATGAATTACTAGAACTAGTGGTAAATACAAAATGTATTCAGACAATACATTCTCTATGTTGTCAACACTATAAATCACGACAGAAGAATAATTTGTCTTTATGTTAACTTTGAAAAGATTGTTAATAGGAAATAGATAAAAATATATCCATTTCGTATCAAAATGGAGATTATTAATAGTTTAGAGTGCAACAAATAAAACAGATGCTAACTTAGCAATGAATTTTACAGTTTCCATAAGAGGCAGGGGCGGATCATCAGCATTTTTTGGTCTTTAAGATAGCTAACTTCCAGACATGGAGCAAACTAAAAACATTTATATATTATTTATGCGAAATATTACTTATGCGAAATAAGGATGCTGTGCAAAAAATTGCAATGATTGGAGGCTGGGAATAAAAAAGCCCCAAAATGTTTTGCACCCCCCTGCCCCAAACTTTCACTTTAGATGTGAGATTGTCAGGAAGATCATTAATGTAGATAAGAATGCGGTAGTAGTGTAGTTGTTAGAGCACTCACATCATGCAAGAAGTTCTAAATTCAATCTCTACCACATATTTGGTAGTACTGCGCTCAACTTGTTTCTTTGCGCAGAGACCTCGCTTGCCAAGGTTGGTGTTTCAGAATAAAAGAGTTGAGAGAGGGTTCTAATAAAGTCTCCTCAACTGTAGTGGCCCTCTTGGCCTTGGGGAAGTGAATAACATAAAAAAGAGAAACAATACAGAACCAAGGACAGAAGCTTGCAGTACCCAAGTTACTAGAAACAAAGAAGATTTTAATTTTGAGTTAGAGTTTTCATTACAATCAATTAACTTAGCCAAACAATTAAACTTAAGTTTAAGATGAATATTATTAGGTTCAATCAATTACCATATTTTTACTTTGATTGCTAAAATGCATGAAAACATATGGAAAATATATGAACTCAAAATACCTTAAAGTCTTGCAAAACTTTCTCTCTTAAAACTGATAACTTTCCAGCATCTAAAAATAGGCATGTCAACAAACTTGAAAAAAACTTTACACAAAAAAAGATGAATATTTTTGAAAATAAATTTTTTAATAAATTATAATAGTAGTAGTAGCAATAAAACAACAACAATGGAAATAATAATTATAATAATAATAATTAGATAAAAGAACAGAATAAGAGAATAGAATAAGTTTAAAGGATAATAAAAATGACAAAAAAAAAAAGATAAATTTATGATAAGAAAATATTTATGAAATAATTATAAAAAAAACCTTGTTGCAAATGAATACAACCAATAAGTTGTAGAAATAAATCAGAAAACTCTCCAACAGTCAACCCCATAGATTTACCTAAAATACTTAAATAAAAATGATAAAATTAACAAATAATAAAATATAGAGAAATATTCAGAAATTCACAATAATTGTGAAAATAAATAAATTTTTTACCTATAGTTAGGCTTGCTGCAAATTTGACTTAATGTCTTCAATAAATTTGAAGACGCAGCTGGAAAAGGATTTGCAACTGAAATGCTGAAAAATTAAAGATAAGAACTTTAATTTTTTAAATTATATCTAATAATCTGCGCTGTCAAAATGAAAAAATAAAGCAGCCATTGTGCTACATCTGTACTGTCAGAATGATAAAATTAGGCAGCTATTGTGCTATATCTTTAATACCCAATCTTTGTTATTTGTATCTCAATACTAGAAAATCTAAACATTGGCTAATTCAATGTAATTATAATATTGAGGTCTTTGCTTCAGTGTTTTTTTTTTTTTTTTGTATATGTAAGAAAATTAACTAACAAACCTTTTTAAATAGTAAAAAACCACAAGAAGTGTATTGTTTCTTGCACTGGCCAAAATTGCTAACTGGTTATATGGCTGACCTATTAAAAAAATTGCTAACTGGTTATATGGCTGACCAATTAAAAATTTTTTTTTATTATTTTGGAATTAGAAGTATAAAACAGAAGTATAAAAGGAAGCCAAAATGACTAAAATAAGAGTGTACATAAATATTTGTGTAAAATATAAAAATATAAAATATATATTAAATCAGTGACACCTCTTTAATGATATTAATTTTAAAAAATGATCCTAGATTACCGTATCCCTATTCTCTTGAACAAAAGATACTTAATGCCCTAATGACTAGATGGAGAAATGTGCTTCAAAAAATCATGTGTCACTCTTGCCAAATGCTAAATCTGCCCCCAATGAGAATCAAAAACAATAATCCATAAGAGTGAAATAAAAATTATGAATATGAGAATCAAAATGCAATAACCCATGAGAATCTGATTTTTCAAAAGATTTGAAGATCTATTTTCCCCCTTTTTACACTTGCTTTAAAAAAAAAGCTTACATTATTAATTTACTAGTTAAATAAAATTATTTACCGTTTCCTGGAAGAATCTTTGCAGCCAATTCATAAAAAGCATTTGCATGTTGAAGGTCATTTCGATAACGAGCTGTGAAGTTATATACATACATATATATATATATACACATATGTATATACACACAGATATATATATATATATATATATATATATATATATATATATATATATATATATATATATATATATATATATATATATATATATATATATATATATATATATATATATATATATATATATATATATATATATTAAGGTGAGTCAAAAAATTTTTTTTTCTTGTTACAGGCTCTAAACATTGCTAATAGTTATTAATATTGATACTATCAAGTGTGAGAATGATTGTGATAGATTTAAAGGGCGCAACTTTATTGGGAAAATTACCGGTACCCTAATATTTTGGAGAAAAAGTTTTTCAAAAGTAGGTCAACCTGGTACTCAAAAGAAGCTAAATTTTATAAAAAATTCGAAAATAATAACCGTTTTATAAAAATCATATTGCTTAAAAAAAATTGTTATCAAAAAACATGTAAAAATGAACCTTTTTAACTTTTAGTTAAAAAACTATAGTTATTATGCAATAAAATCTAAAACAATAATTTTTATATGAAAAAATTATTATTTTTGAAATTTTTATAAAATTTTGCTTTATTTGAATACCTACATCACATAATTTTGAAAATTTTTTTTTGAATAATAATAGGACCTGCTAATTTTTGTAATTATAGTTGCGGGTGGAAGACATTGTTCAATCCATAAAAGTAAATACTTTCCTAAATTAGTACATAAAAAAACAACTTTCTATCAATGTTTAGAGCCTGTAACAAGAAAATTTTATGACCCACCTAATATATATATGCTATCAATAAACCTGTTGCCAAAAAAAATATTTTGCTAAAATTAAATGGCTTATTACAATTATTATATTAGATAAAAATATACCAATAAAATACAGGTTTTGGTAAACCTATTCCACACTAACTTATAGAAAAATAAAAACAACTAATAGAAAGAAAAAATGTCTACTTTTTAAATTATGAAAAAAAACTTTTATAATACAATTAAATTTTAAGCCGTTGCAAAAACCACTATTTATCAACAGTTTCTATATTAGTACCCATCTAAATAATATTTAGAATACCTGCTTGAAATGCGTTAATTACAATCGGTATAAAAAGTTTAAAAAACATGTTGTAATAGACTTATAAAATGTGTACTAATGGACTTACCATGACCTATAAAGTACAGGTTATGGTAAGTTTATTCCATACCAACTGTTTCTATACTTTACTTCTATACTAAGTTTCAGACCATAATTTTTTTTTAGATCATCCATGACTTATAATTAATTTTAAAGAAAATAAAAGTGTTAATTAATTTTAAAGAAAATAAAAGTTTGAACATAAAATCTCTTTTCTTATAAAAAAGTAAGTTTTCTCTTTATTATGCATTAAAAGCACAGATTTCAGTAAGTACTTGAGAACATTAATAACATAAGTATCTCTATCATGACATATGCGCAAAAACTTTCTTCTAATGTTTTGATGTTTTTAGAAATTAATGTTTTGCTGTTTTTATTTTAGAAATTTTAGAAATGATTGTTTAGATGTTTTTAGAAATTTTTTAAAAATTCTCTCCCTTTTGTTATAAATTATCTTTATATATTTTATGTATATAATATCTATTGAACTTTAAAAAATTTTTATCTTGTATTTTAAAAATTTTTAAAAGATTAAAAAATTAAATGTGCAAGTGTTAGTTTTATTAAGTGATTTGAGCCACAGCAATCCATTTCAAAAACGCTGCAAGCTAATCACTTCGGACATGTATTATTCAAAAATGTATTAACACACTGTTTAATAAACCAAAGACTTTAAAAAAGACTATAAAACAGTAAATAAATGCTATAAATCAAAACAATAAGGAGATAATGTCGCAATCCAATTCTCAAGTAAAAGTAAAATTGTAAAAACTTGTTTCAACATTAAATAATTTGAAGTTTCCATAAGATATTTGCATACACTTTTGTTCACATTTTCTTATAAAAAAAAAAATGTTTTGACTCTTTTTTGCCTAAGTTATACATATCACAAAATGTTTTGTAATTTATACATATCACAAAATGTTTTGTAATTTATACATATCACAAAATGTTTTGTAAGTTATACATATCACAAAATGTTTTGTAAGTTATACATATCACAAAATGTTTTGTAAGTTATACATATCACAAAATGGTAAAAAATGTGAGAAAGTTAGAACAGGAGAGAAAGTTAAAAGAAGAGAAAAAGTTAGAACAAGATGGAAATTTAGAAAAAGAGAGAAATTAAAAAAGTAAAAATGTTAAAATCTTTAACAATATCCACATTTCTCTTCTAACTTTAAACAGCAAGCTTTGATATTTTAAAAAAGTGAACTTTTTAATAAAAAATAACTGTTTTAAATAAAAGAGATTTTTAATTAACTTGAACATCAAATAACAAATAGATATTTTTAAAGAAAAGTTTTTAGGTTTTATTTACTTAAATAAATTCTAAACACTTTTCATATCGTAATTCATGTTTTTATTTGTATATTTTAATAATCCGTCAGGGTTAGGATGAGGGTTAATTTTTATCACTAAATAAACTCTATTATAAATTAATAAAAGCTGCCTAGGCAAGCAGCTCCCATGGCTTGTCATGTCTGTTTTACATGAGCTTTTTTCAGTTCGCACACTCATTCACATCATGGCTTAAATATATAAATATAAATTTATATATATATACAAGTTGTATTAAATTATATTTATATTAATATAAAATACGTACTGAATTTAAAATAATGCAATAATAAAATACTTTAAAAAAGATAATTAATAGTTATCATTAAAAATTTTAAAATTTTAAAAAATCATCAAAAACTAAAAACAAACCTAGATCTCCAAGATGAACCAAGCAATCTTGACAAATATATAAGCAGGAATTCATCTTTGGTTTTGTCCCCGAGTATAACTTTTTATTGACTAAAAAAAAAAAAAAATTTTTTTTGTTGAATAGGTTAATGTTTATGACTTATATATAGTAATTTATTGGCTAATGATCATGTCAGCCAAAAAAAGATCGCCAAGTTTTATGTTGTGTCATTCAAATGAAACCTTTTTTTAAGAAAAAAAAAAGAGCTATTTTAAAATCTAAACAAAGTACTTAGAGTAAAAATGGGCAAAAGATTAAATTTAATAAATTTATTAAATTCAATAAATTAAATCTATAAAAATAGAATAGAGTGTTTATAAAATTAGGAAAAATTTGTACTTGTTATATCTATTCCATGTAGGTTTAATGTTAGAATGAACTCTCCACACTGTTCAGCAAACTGTTATAGGTAGATGAAAGAAGGTTTTCTAAACAGTTTACAGTCAGTTAGCTGAATATTGAAGAGACATTCTAATTTTAAACCTACCTAAAATGGATTTAAAAGCACAGAAGAGCACATTTAACACTAAGAGTGATTCTGTAGCTCCTTTTAATGGAAGAAGATTTAGATTTAGCATTAACTTTTACATACTGCAGCTAGAGCAGGGAAAGAATTGATTTTTATTAGATTATGCACCATATATACATTAATAATGTAAATATTTTTATTATTCTAAATTACTTAAAAATTATTTAAAATTTAATCTTTTTTTGTAATGGACATCTAAAATGCTAAATTTGTTTTAAAAATTTTCTTTTCCGATTTAAAAAAATTCTTCTTTATTCTTATAAGACAAATACACTTTAGTAAAAAAGGATTTATTGGAGTGACATGACATAAAACCTTTCTCTTTGGCTCACAGTGTAATATATTTAGTAAATATTTTCTCTCTAATGAACGAAATGGTATGATCTTATGTTATTTATCTTAATAATGCACTAAACTAAAAGTGAGAGACTTTTAAAGCATATAAATAGTAAGTCTTTTACTTTTTACTTAAACTTGTAATATATATATATATATATATATATATATATATATATATATATATATATATATATATTATATATATATATATATTGTATGTTATCAATAATATATATAAAATCACCATTTAAAATTCCAAACTGACTTGCTTTACCATGATATGGTAAATCCAAATCATAACGCTCACAAAAATCTTGAAGCAACTAAAATAAAAAATAATAATTAAATCAAAATCTATTAATAAAATATAAAAATAAAAAAGATTTTTTATTATATATATTTTACTTAAAAAATTCTGAATCAAAAAAGATTTTAACATCAGAAAAAAGCATTTATAATAAAAGAAAACTTTTATTTTAACAAACAGTAATAAAGGCCTTTATATTTTATAAAAAAGAAATTCTTGTTGATGAATAGAAATATTTAATTTTCTTTCAAAATTTTAAAGGAAATTTAATACTTTGAAGTTTTCTATAATCATACTGGTGATAAAAAATGTCTGACAAAAAATGATTATACAAAATTATTAAAATTCATTTAATAATAAATAATTTTATTTATATTTAAATTTTTTGATTATATACTAACTTATTTATGCTAAATTCTAAAATGCTAATACTTAACAGTCACTTGCAAAAGTTTAGAATTGGTTAAGTATTTTAAGGTAAATCCATAATTTATTGAAAATGACATACTCAAAGATAAGATTTATGATATATACATACATTTATACATACAATAATATATTTATGTTATACACATACAGTCGCAATCAAATTTTTTGAACATTTTAAAAATTTGCATAAAATAATTGTTTAAAAGTATTTTATTACATTGAAAATTTTGGGTATCATAAATATATACAGGCTAAATTTATGTTTTAAACCACAAAATTTGTTTTAGCCATAGCTTGTTGTTATTTTAGCAAATAATAAAATAATAATTATGGAAAAAAAATGAATTAACAACAGAAAAACGTGCTCAGATTATAGGTGAACAAGGATTGACCTTGACCTCTATTGCTGCATATCAAGAAAATGGTAATTTTAAAAGCAATGCTAGAACTGTACGACCAAAGATAACTACTTAAAGGGCAATTAATTGCATTCATCGTTATGCAAAAGCGTATTCGTTTGCCAGTGCTTCTGAAACTTCATCTGAGATATCCCCAATTGGTGCTACATCAAGTGGTGTGACGATTAGAAGACGTTTGTCCAAACAATTTAAATAAAATAGTCATGTGCAAGCAAAAAAACCTTGCCTTTCTTAAAAAAATATTAGAGACTGTATTGCCTTCTGTCAAAAATACAAGCACTGATCAGCAGAAGATTGGGAGGATTTAATATTTAGCAACAAATCATTAATCGAACAATCTTGCCGTTGTTCTACAAGCATTAGACGCCCGCCTTGCTAATGATATAACTCTCAGTATTTGCTTTCTACCGTAAAACATTGCCCTAAAATCATGATATGGGGTGACATTACAGCAAATCAAAGTGGTGGTTTATGGTTTATGCCTTCTAACACCACAACAAATAGCCATAATTATCTTGAAATACTTCAAAAAAAAAAATCTATGCCTACCCGCTGAGATAACTGATTGAATGCTAAAGGACATCATACCAAGTATTAACTTAAAAGTTTCAATTCATAAAACATTTACTTTTATGCGTCAAAGATATTATTTTTGTCAATTGAAATGGTTACTAATATATTTTAATAAAATAAATGAATAGTTTAATGAAAATTGTGTTTTTTTATGCAATGTTCCAAACTTTTGATTTCAACTGTACATGTAGGGTGGTTCTAAAAACAAAATTGTTTGAAAATGTCTGATGGCACCCCCTAAATGTGCTCTATGTAATAAATTAATATTATATTTTAAAAATATTTGAATAAAAAAAATTTTTAGGGGTTGCTAAAGACCCTTTAACATCAGACGGGTCCCTAATATTTTAAAAAAAAAAGTTCTTTAAAAGCATATCATGTTGGGTCTCAAAAGAAGCAAAATTTTATAAAAATTTTAAAAATACATTTATAAAAAAATTTATAAAAACACAAACTAAAAAAGTTCATTTAAAAAAACTATGAAAATATGTTCACTTTTTTTTTGTTTTTTTAAAAAACTATAGTTTTTAGGCCATAAAATTTAAACTAGTAATCTTTATATAAAATGTTTATTGTTTTTGGATGTTTTATAAAATTTCACTTTTTTTGAGACCCAACATGATATGCTTTAAAAGAACTTTTTTTTTTTTTAAATATTAGGGACCCGTCTGATGTTTAAGGGTCTTGAGCAAACCCTAAAAAAATTTTTTATTAAAAAGATTTCTTAAATGTAGTATTAATTTATTACATAGAACACATTTAGGGGGTGCCATCAAACATTTTCAAACAATGTTGTTTTTAGAACCACCCTAATGTGTAGGTATATAACATAAATTAAATCTTAGCTTTGTGTATGTCATTTTCAATAAATTATGGATTTACTTAAAAATACTCAACAGATTCTAAACTTTTGCAAGAGACTGTAAAATCCTGACTTTGCAAAACCTTAAAAATGTGCATAAGAAAGCCTTCAGTTTAGTGAACTACCAGTAAAAATATCCAAAATATAATATTCTTTCTTCAAAAAAGAAAGAAACTTGTTCCCATCAAATTATCAATTTCAATCACCTATGTGCTTTGCAAGATTCTGTAAGGTAATCAAATTATTAATTTCATTCACCTCTGCACTTTGTAAGATTCTGAAAAGTTTTGTCTGATATGTTTATTTAATTCATATGGTTATAAATTTTTTGAATGCAAATGATTTTCTTTCAATACATCAAGACCGCTTTGTAAAGAAAACATCTTGTAACAAATCTCTTTAAAACGTTAGATATAGTTTTGTATTTTTTGTTTCAAGATATGAAAAAAATAACAACAAATAAATTAATTAACATACTTGAAAATAAAAACCACTTGATGTATCAATGAACAATGAAAGTTTTGCTTGCAGTTCATTCTTTTCAGTGTTCTGAAACATAAAAAAATTTCTGATTGCAATACATAATATAGGCATGATAGGTATGATAGCTATTACGTTAATAAATATATTTATCACAACAGTTTTAGGGCTAGCAACAGTTTTAGGGCAACAGTAGATTTTACTAATAATTTATAATAAATTTATTACAAACACTTTTATATCCAATTTTTTATTTTGAAAATTTTGAATTTATAATTTTTACATTGAAAAAATATTGCTCTAATTTCTGTTTTTTAAATTTTGTTATTGAAAAAATAAAATATTATACAAGGGTTGTGCTAGTTTTTTAGCGTCCATTTACATATATAAACTTTATTTATTTTGAGAAGTGAAGTAAAGCTGGGGTCAAAGAAATATATATACAACACATACTTAATGAGTGTTTATATTTAGTGACAAATAATTAAAAGTAACAATTGAAATAAAAAAAATTGTTAAAAACTAAACAATTCTAAATTTAAGATTATTAAAGAACTTCTTATTAAATATCTTCTTATTAACTTATTATTAAAGAACTTCTTTATAAATGCGGGATAAATGTCTTTGATCATTCTATAGAATAGTATGTGTGAAAATATATATAGACAGTCTACTATTGTCTATAAATTTTTACATATCTTTATGGCGGCATCTCAACAGCATAACTGTTTTAAAATCTAAAAAAGCAAATAAATTCTAAAAGCGAATAGATTACACAGTACTTTGAAACTTTTGTAATGTCCTGTTATTAAATTGATGAATATGAAAAGTGTAAAAATTAATAAAACTTTTTAGTTTTAAATTTTATTTAAAAACCTTTATCTGCAATTATTAGGATTTTTTTGTACTCTTTTACTATCCAAAACTTATTCAAAAATTTTATAACAAAAGAAATCACATTATATTCTTTTAGTTATTTTTTACTGTATTAAATTGTAAAAAAAATTCTGTATAGAATTTTAAAAAAACTTAAATTGTTGGATTTTTAATCTTAACTATGTTACACTAAAATTTTTCTAAAGGTAAAAGATTAAAATATGTTTCTTCTGATCATCTTAAATAAGAAAATATTTGTCTGATATTTGGCTCTGGTACACAACAGTACACAAAGTTCTTAGAAATTGGTTTACTAACTTCAATTATTTTTGCTTCAGCCATTCTTACAAACTTGGTATACTTAAACTTAAAGTTATTTTTTTCTGTTTTAAATACTAATTAAAATTCTGTTTTAAATACTAAGAAAAATTATTTTAAATGAGTTAAACTTTTCAAACTACGCGAAGCATAAAACAGTTATTGAAAAAACTTTTTTATTTATAAATAAATCATATAGCGTTAGTTTTATTGGTTGAATCTTGTTGAACTTTTCAGGGCCGGGGACTGCATTATTTTGGCGGCCTTTTTTATGTGCCACAGCGTAAAAATGACTAAAAAAAATACTGAATGGTCCTCTTGACTATTTCGCAGCCCCTAACATTGTGAGTCCCGAGGCTATAACTCTTCTACTCCTCCCCCCCCCCACCTCCTCAACTCAGCACTGGAAATAAGACATAAGTATATAAATAAAAATTGTATATACTCTTTGATAAATTGAAGAATATTTGTTTCCTAATTAAACAACAATTAATAGCAAGTTGTTACTTTATACAAAAAAAGTCACTTAATTTTATAAAAAAAAATTATAATAGAGACGTTTCAAAAATATTTGCTCTAATCCGATTTATTTTGCTTTAAGTTTTTTCGCGTTAAAAGCTTTCTTTTTTTAACTGTCTCTCATCGGTCCAGTTAATCTTATTGCGCTTTTTTGTTTGTTTTTGAAATGTCTCTAAACGACTAAAAAATTTGGCCGGTTTTTCGGCCAAATTTTTCAGTCGTAACCTCTGTCAAACAGCAAAACATCTTGTTTTATTATTGCAATTCTATGTTGAAACATTTTTTTATAAAATGCAACTTTAAGTCTCAGGGTTTTGCTGATTTTTACACTATTCAAAGATTATGATAAATTATGAACATCCCCAAAATTTCATTATCTAATTCCAAACGGTTTCAAAGATATAACTATTTAAATTTGCCATGATACATCAAAACTATTTTCAAAATGGTTTTGGTTTTTGTTTCTGTTTTGTGTGCAATTGAAAATATGTACAATTACATATTTTGAGGCAATGAATCCAAGAAAAAGTTACAAAAATGTTGATGCAGCTTGATTTTTTTTGTGAAGATGTCATCCTGATTAGTTTTTACTAGTTATCAACGAAAAAACAACAGCTCAAAACTAAAAAAAAAATCTGAAAATATATATATATCAGTCATCTCTCTCTCTCTCTCTCTCTCTCTCTCTCTCTCTCTCTCTCTCTATATATATATATATATATATATATATATATATATATATATATATATATATATATATATATATATATATATATATATATACTACCATTTATTCTTGTCACGATAAGAAGAATATATATATATATACTACCATTTATTCTTGTCACGATAAGAAGCCAAATCCCTCTGATTGCTTGCAGGGGGCATCTGAGCTTGAAAAGGATCTCACATCTGCTACAGCATGGGGCTCCCAGTGGCTGGTGAACTTTAATTCAGATAAAACTCAATTTTTTTCGGCCAATCGTTATCACAATAATTTAGACCTTCCTATATTTATGAACGGTAATGTAAGCAAGATGCAAAATTAGCATCTGCTAAAGTTGCTTCTCTTTATCGAGCTCGTCACTTTCTTACTCTGGATTCTATTCTCTACCTCTATAAATGTCAAATCCAGCCTTGTATGGAATACTGTTGCCATATCTGGGGCGGATCTTCTAATGATGTCCTTTCTCTTTTAGAGAAGGGGCAAAAACGCATTGTAAACTTAGTTGAACCTGCTCTTGCAGCCAACCTTCAACCTCTGTCACATCGTCGTAATGTTGCTTCTCTTTCTCTATATATACAAATACTATAATGGGCACTGCTCGAAAGAGCTAGCGTCTCTTGTGCCATCTACTAAAATTCATTCTCGTCATTCAATTAAGTCTCATCCTTTTTCTGTTACTGTTCCTAAGTGCTCCAAAAACTCTTACGCGTCTAGTTTTTTTCCTCAAACATCAGTTCTTTGGAATTCGCTTCCTTCATCTTGCTTTCCTGATTCATATAATTTGCAACCTTTTAAGTCGTCTGTCAATCGTTATCTTGCTCTACAATCTTCATCTTTTCTCTTCCAGTAACTTCTAACATTAATTAGTGGTTGCTTGCAGCCTTGTTGGAAGCGAAGATAATTAAATATATATATATATATATATATATATATATATATATATATATATATATATATATGTAAAGTAAACTCTCGGTTGTTTGAACTTGCACTTATTCGAATTTCTTGCTTATTCAAAGCAATTCTCTGTGAATTTTCCTTTACAAACTCATGCAAATATCCATCAGTTATTCGAACCAGCAGTTATTCGAAATTTTGATTATTCAAAGTAATTTTTTGTTTTCTTGTCAAACACCCCATCAGTTATTTAAAGTTTTTCTACGGCTCAAGATACCATTGCATTGCATTTTGAAAAATAACTTTATCAAATGTAATTAAAATATATGTATGCATATATGTAACAAAAATGTTATCAAAATATAAAAAAATTGAACACATTTAATGCAGTGCAATGAAAATTTTAACATGATCTCTAGGCGAAAGAAGGCAGTACCATCCCTGTGTCGTGGGGGTTGTCGGGTGAGATCGACCCCCTTTTTTAACAAACTCTCCTTGTTTCACGCAAATTTTTTGTTTGTTTTTGTTTTGTTATTCATCTCCTCAGGGCCGAGAAGGCCACTACAGACAAGGAGGCTACTTAATAGTGGTTATAACCCTCTCTCAACTCTATAACTCCGAAACACGAACCTTAACGAACAAAGCCGCTGCACGGAGAAACAAGTTGAGTGCGGTACTACCAGGGACGTGGTGGGGATAGAACTCGGAACCTCTTGCTTATGAAGCGAGTGTTTTACCACTACAAATATTATAGTAAAATTTGAACTAAAATGTCAAATTATTAATCAAAGATAAATATCTTGCTTTTAAAGATTGGAAAAAAGGTTAAACTAAAAAGAATGTAGCTGAAAAATTTAGTGTTTTTTAAAACACTTTAACTCACTAGATTAAGCCTTAAGAAGACATAATCATTAAGAGTCAGTCAATTTAGAGCTAAGAGACAAAAGTTAAGTTTTGGAAAGCATGATTCTGTTGATAAATTTTTTTGATAAATATGTAAAGATTTTATTTTTTTATTTCAAATTTACAAAGGTAATGACTTAAACAGCATCTTATTTCAGAGTTTTTCTTCTTTTTTACTCTCTTCTTCTGTTAACATTTGATTGTAACTTGAAATAGGTCACTTTAAAGAAGATTTTCAGTTATTTGAACTTTCTATATAATAAAATAATACTAAATTAAAAAAATTTCGAAAATAAAATATTTTTAGGGGTAGCTCAAGACCCATCAGACCCATCAGACATCACAACATCAGACCCATCAGACATCACCACATCAGACAGGTTTCTATAATTATCAAAAAAATAGTTCTTCAAAAATATATCACGTTGGGTCTCAAAAGAAGCAAAATTATAAGCAAATACAAGGTATAGATTTTAAAAAATTGCTTGCTATTGTAACAATTCAGAAAAAATGAAACCATGTTGATTTCGCAAACAAGTTTGCCAGCTTATTAGAGACACAAGAAATGCACTTTTTACATTGTTGTCATGGCAAAATTGATCAAGGATCAGATGCAATTAACAAGGATCAGATGGAACTTATTAATATGCTATAATTCCGTTATTGAAAAACATATTTAATATATTTGAGGTAGGGTTTACAACCTCGGATCCCGAAATCCCGGAATCCTGCCTAATTTTTTAACCCCAAATACCTGGGATTATTTCAAAAATATTCCCGGATTTAGAATTTATAAAACTGCAATTAATGCCTGCGTTTTAACTGTGTC